CACATTCTAAAATTATTTCTTTTTTCTTTAACTGTACCAATTATTTGTCAGTTAATGACAAATTACTTCCTTTGATAATATCTATATATTTTGGATGAGAATTCCTCTTTTGAATTAAAATCATATGATATGGAATGGACCATAGAGTTTTGTTATGAATTGTTTAATTTATAGATAGTAAATAGTAGCCCATATTTGGCTAGGGTAACACAAATAATGACTGAAGGATTAGAATATATTTATGACTCTCAGGCAGATGTTTTTCCTCTGGAATATGATGCTGAAATTATTCAAGGCTTTCTTTGTTTATTTCTTTTCATACCAAGTGTCTTGAAGACAAGTGCTCTCTAATCTCTATAGTACCTATTTCAATGCCTTCTATCTGCTGTATGTATAATAAATATTTATTGATTTGTTTTGAATGCATTTTCATATGTTTCTTGAAATGAATTTATACCTTAAAGAAATCCGACCTTTTATAAGTTTTCCTAATAATTACAACTTTGACTTCTTCTTCAAAAACGTTGATCGATTATGAAAAAAATACATTCTCACTGGAAAATATTCAAACAATAAAGAAATAAATAGTAAAGTAGACTGTGAGGGTCCCCCTTAGTTCCATTCCCTCTTATGAAAGCAGTTAAAATTTGGGGAATATTCTTCTGGATATTTTCAATGCACAGACTAATATTACATATAACAAATAAATAGTGCTATATTGTTCATGCCATTTTCTCATTATTTTCATATAAAATACATTTGAATTCATTATTTCATGCAAGGACATGTAACTTTTTTAGAAGCTATATAGTGTTTGGTTAAGTAGATGCATTTAACCATAATTTATTTAAATAATCTGTTCTTCATGGATGTTTGGGTTGCTTTTGATTTTTCATTGTTTTGAACAATGCTTCAATTTTATTTTCTGGTTTTGATGGACTTGTGCAGTGTTTCCATAGACACGTTCTTAGGAATGGGTGTCCTAGATCAAAGGATGTGAACATTTTATAATTGGGTAGAAATTGCCAAATTGCCTCCAACGAATTCTTTTAAGGTTAACTCTTTCCAAAAGTAAATGAGAGTGACTGTTTCTTTACAGTGTTCCCAACACTGGATATTTTGCTTTCCAAGAATTTTTAAACCTGATATCTAAAATATGAGATTTCACTTAATTTTTTAAATTTTTCAATTACAGTTGACATTTAATACTATATTAGTTTCAGTCATACAGAATAGTGGTTAGACATTTATATAACTTTCAAGGTGATCCCCCTGATAAATCTAGTACCCATTTGACACCATACATAGTTATTACAATATTAGAGATTTTTACTATTTTTAAATTGAATTTCTATATGAGTCAGGGAAGTCAAACACCCTTTATATTGATTAGCCACTTTGCCTTTGGTATGTTATTTGTGCATGTCTTTTGCCTTGAGCTAATTTTCTTTTTTCTTATTATGGATAGTTTCGATTTATCTATTTTGTAGGTGACATTTTTCTCAGTTTGTTATTCATCTTTTGACTTTGTAATGGTGTATTTTTCCTTTACTGAACATTGTAAATTTCAAAGTAGACAAATAAGTCGACTTTTACTTCATGACATATTTTTTCTTTGACATGCTTAAAAAGTGCTTTTCTATCCCAAAATAATATTATCTCTTTTTTTCTAGTTCTTGTACAATTTTAGTTTCCACATCTCTATTATCGATCCACCTGAAATTCAACTTAAGGGCAATTTTTCCCTTACCCAGCAAGTCACTTGTTCTCATCTTCGCTGATGTAAAATACTACTTTATAATGTACTGTGTTCATATATACTTGAGTCTAATTCTGGTCTCTATTATATTGATGCCTTCCTATTTATGTACTAGTACTATATAAAGTATACCTTCAAAATAATACATTTTAAATATCTTGTGTGACAAAATATTCTTTCTCAATATTCTTCTCTTCCAAAACTTTCCTGACACATATAGCTTTTCAGATATGCTTCAGATCTATCTTGTTAAATTCTAATAAAAAAAAGCCTGTTGGGAAATTAACTGGAATGACATTGAATTATCACATTGATTTATGAAGGAATGTTGGCTATTTATATAGTTGTCTTACAAACTATAAATAATGAAAACATTTCCATTTAGTCATATTTTTTTAGTTAAATTCTGTAAATTTCTTAATTTGGTATCTGTATATTACTTTCTACTTTTAGTCTCAGGTATTTTACATTTTAAAAAAATGTTGGAGAAGGAAGAGGTCACTATCGCATTTTTACACAGATCATTTTTTTGTACATAGAAGAGTTACTGATTGTTTTGTATATCCACTTTGCAATATTCCACCTTATTAAAGTCTCTTATTGTTTTCTAATGAGGATTTCCAGTTAAATATCTTGGGTAGTGGAGACATACAATCAAAGATCACAGAAATATTAAGAATGTATATGTCTTTCAAATATTTAGTTCTGTTATTTCTTTCTCTTTTCTAATTACTTTGATTACTACTTCAAGAATAATGCAAAATAAGAGCATTTCTAATGAGAATTTAAATGTTAGCACGAAGCCTGATCGTTGTCCCTCAACAACCAAGGGAATGTATGATAGAATCTTCCAAATGGTTTTAGGCATAGTGAACTTGGAAGACATTTTTTTTCTGGTACTCTGAGAGAAGGCAGCTTTGCAGAAGAACCCACTAGTACATGGGGCAGCCACTTCATGGCAGCACTGATCTAGGTAAGAGCATCTAAAAGTGCACCTCTATTTCCACATGCACACAAACATGAATTTTCTCAACCACCTTGGTTCATGAAGATCTGAAAAGTTCTTGGATGCACCATTGGGGCCCAGACAGTAGCTAGGAGCTGAGGGCTGGTGTGTTTCCAGAGACTGTCAGAATAAGGACCCTGTAGCAGCAGCTAAAGTCAGAGCCCAGAACCAGATGGAAGACATGATTGAGTCTAAGAGAATCAGCACAACCAGAGAACCCTGAGAAGGCCATCAGCTCCCTTCTCAAAAGAAAAATATGTATTGTTCACACTAGGAGATATAGGTTCCATCAACAGTGGACATTAGAGATACCCCTCTCCTGAAGTAAAGAGGATACATAAGCCTCAAGATTCTAGAAAAAATATAACAAAATCAATATAAAGAAAATAGAAGGAGGGAATTAATAAATATGAAAGTGAAAAATTAGTGGAGTTGAAAACCAAGAAATAATAGAGTAATAGTAACAAATTAAATATTGGTTGTTGGGAAATAGTAATATAACAGATAAAATGTTGGCATATAAAACAAGCCAAATAAGAGAAAAAGCATAAATAAAGAGCTCTAAGAATTAAAAAGGAGCAAAATTAATAGCTAAAGAGGCAATTTAAGATTATGAGAATACTATGTGGCAGCCTGACCCTCCCTGGCCATTTCCTGCTCGATCGAGCTCTTTCCTGACTTCCCTCCCCCCACCTCAAGGACTCTCCAGTTAACTTCTGTTTTTTCATAGCTTGTCAACCAATTAATGTTCTTCTTTTTCTCTGTAGCTGTGTAGGGATGACAAGACTGTATAAAACTGCCTGTACAATTGGGGCTCAGACTTTGGCTAAGAATCTGCTGAGCCGGTGCCAGCATCAATAAACACTGATTCCTGCTTATAGCCTCCATGTCCCGTCTCTCATTTTGAGAATCTTGCAACAACTACATACAACTTTAAGCCAGAAAACATGGACAAAATTATATTTTAGAAAATTATATATTACTAAAATTTGCTCAATAAGATGAAAAAATTAAATAGGCTACAAATCATCGAAGAAGATGGACTTAGTCCTATGACTTTGGGGAAGCTGCTCAGTTTTTCTAAGCCTGTTTCCTCTCTATGCAATAAGAATAATAATGGTATCTTCCTCTGGGAATCTTGCAAGGTTTAAACTAGACCTAAGTGTAGAGTACTTATGACAGTGCCTGGCACATGATAATTCCTTGTGAAATGTTATCTTTTATTATTTTTATTACAATGATATCATTACACCATTCTATCAGTAAAATATTGGAAGAGCATAAATATTTATCAATAAAGGAATGGTAAACTATGAAACATCACAGTATAGGGTTCTATACCATGAAGTTAAAAATGAAATTCTATTTGCAGTAATAAGAAAAGATATCCTAGATAAATGGTTTCATGAAAAAGGGAAATTGAAGAATAATATGTGAAGAATGATACTATTGATGTCTAAAAACTGGGGTTGGCAGAGCGGGGAGAGAGAGAGTGAAAGCGAGCACGCCCTTGAGGGATGGTATTGAACTAATAACTGGGATGGGAATGGAGGTTAGATTGGGAGATAGGGAGAATTTTATCTTTATCTTCATTTTGAATTCTTAACATGAAAATCGTGGGTATAGTGTTTAGGCAATAGAATAAAATTTTTTTTAATATTTAACAAATAACTGGATTTTTCCTGAAGTTTCCAGAAAAGGTATCTTCAAGGGTGTGGGCTACACTGCAGTACATCTTTAAAACAAACAAACAAACAAAAAAACCCCAAAACTTAAAAAACCTTCTTCAACCTACACTGTTTCCCAAGTTCCCTCTCCATCACCTGTTTGCTGCTAGTTACACTCTTCCTACTCCTTCTCCCATGAGCTACAAGACTCATTCCCTACTCCTGTTTATTTTTCCAAAATTTAAAAGTGGACTCTTTCAAACATTCAGACACTTCAGAAATGGTTTTAGCTTATTGCTATTCACCCATCCCTATGAATAAACACTTTGTCACATTTGCTTCAGATCTAATTTTTAATTTAACAAGTAATAAGACATTGTAGGATCAAAATTGCTAGTGCTTTGAAAAGCTTGGGGGGGGGTCTTGTATAATCGTTATCATCATCATCACCATCATCATCATCATCATCATCATCATCATTATTATTATTGAAACGCCAGTGAATCCAGACCTGCTCATCATCATCATCATTATTATTATTGAAACGCCAGTGAATCCAGACCTGCTCTCATACCTCTTGGGATGCAGCTCTACATCTGAACCCCCTTTTTAGGGCACCCTTGACCTCTTTGTTGCGGAGGCTGTAGATGAAAGGGTTCAAAGTCGGTGTGACCACTGCATAGACCACGCTGGCCAGGCGGTTGTAGCGGGCCGAGTAGGCAGATGACGGCCGGAAATAGACAGAGAGGACAGAGCCGAAGAAAAGCGACACCACCACCAGGTGGGCCCCGCAGGTGGAGAAGGCACGATGCCGGCCTCCTGCCGACCGCACTCCCAGCACAGCTACGAGGATGCGTGCGTAGGAGAGGGACACCAGAAACAGCGGGGTCAGTACCACAGCCAGGCCCTCAGAGAAGATGGCAGCCTCCGCAGCTGATGTGTCCGAGGTCGCCAAGCTCAGCATCACCGTCATGTCACAAAAAAAATGGCTCACAGAGGCAGGACGCGGGTAGGAGAGCGCAGAGATGAGCAGCGTGTGCAGCAGCGAGTGCAGGTGGGACACGGCCCAGGACACCCAGACCAGCGCCGTGCAGCGCCCGGGCGTCATGACCGCGGTGTAGTGCAGGGGCCAGCAGACCGCCACCGCGCGGTCGTAGGACATGGCTGCCAGGAGGTAGCTTTCGGTGATGCCCAGAGCCACAAAGAAGTACATCTGGGCAAAACACCCCTGGAAGGACACTGCCTGGCCCGGGTGGAGCAGGCCGGCCAGCAGTCTAGGGACCGTGACCGTGGTAAAGCAAGCATCCACAAGGCTCAGATGACCCAAGAAGTAATACATGGGGGAGCGGAGGGCCCTGTCGGATCTCACCACCACCACCATAATCAGATTTCCCAGACCGTTGAGCAGATAGATGCCAAGGAAGAGCAGGAACAACAGCGGGTGGACGTCTGTTCCGTCCATCAAGCCGAGGAGGAGGAACTGAGGGGCAGAGGTGAGATTCGCCAGGGCCATGGAGTGGCCAGACAGGTTCCAGTGCTGAGGGGTGAGATAAGTCAGCAGGGCTAAATTCTGGCACCTTTGAGTAGACTTCTGCATGTTGGGGTTCCGTGTAATATTTTAAATTTTCTGCTGGCTAAAAATAGTTTGAAAACCACATTGCTCATCCATTTTTATGAAGAAACTGACTCTCAAAAGGATGTATTAGGGTAGTGGGTAGTCTCAAGCTTTGCAGTAGATCAGGCCTACCTGGTGGTGTGACCACTGAGCCTCAGTTTTTTCTTCTTTCAATGAGAAAAATACTTGTAGCTATCCCTGGAGATGGTTGTGAGGATAAAGTGGATAATAAATTTAAAATACTTAGCACAGTACCTAGATTATAATAAGTACTCAAAATTGTTTATCTATCTATCATCTATCATCTATCACTTATCTTTATTTACCTGTCATTATCGTTTGCTTAGTCAAACAAGGAGTTAGGGGCAGAATTGGGACCCAGGCCCATCTGAACCCCATTAGAAGTTTCTTCACAAAACACCTTACTACATTCATTTATTCACCACATGTTATGTGCTAGCTCAAAGGCAAACCTTTTCTGTAAAGGATCATAAAGTAAATATTTTAGGTTTGTGGACCATATGGTCTCTGTTGCAACTACTCAGTTCTGCTGTTGTAGCATGTAAACAGCCACTGATGTATGTAAATGAATGGCCATGGATGTGTTCCAATAAAACTTTATTTGCAGAAAAGGTAGAGGGCCAAATTTGGCCTTTGTGACAGTTTGCTGATCCTTGTGCTAAGTACTGTGAGGAATAGAGAGACAAATGAGTCTTAGCTTCTTCCTACAAACAATTTTATCTAGAGGAGTTTGCAGAGTGTTTTGTATTTTACTAATTTTATGAACCAAGTGGGAGTAAATTATTCTGCCAGGAAGAGTTTGAGAATTCAAAGAAGAGGTGGAATTTGAACTAGGTCTTGGAGAATGAATAGGGTTTCACAGCAGACCTGATACAGTATGAGAGGAGGAGGGCATCAAGACAGGGTGAAGGAATTGTATGGAGTTATTGTTAGAGGAGGCATGGAATGAAGAAGGTAAAACATCCACATATGATATTGAGACAAGGTTTGCCTTTGCTCTGACCTCATTGACAGAAAACTTCAAAGTATCTCGAGTGACTTTAGTTATCTCAGAAACAATGCACTCATTTTGTCCCCCACTCAGTCTCTTCCTTAAAACACATTCTTTTCTTCCATTGCTCCAAAGCTTCTAGAAATATCCTAACCCATTCCTGTTTTGCCAGGAAAGAGGATCAGGCATTAGTGAGATCCCAGAGAGTGGACTAAGTCAATTGTTAGCAGGGGAGCTCCTTGCAGGAAGGACATTCATCCAACTTTCTTATCCAGTGATCTGTCTCCAAAATTTACCCAATAAATATAGTTGAATGAAGCTAAAGAGCAATGAATGAGGAGGAAAAAAAATGGCACAGATGATAGAGGCTCTGTTCATCCCTCTGGCGACCAAATCAAAGTTGTGATGGAAACAAGGAGCAGCAGCAAGAAAAAATCGCCTGGGATCTAGATGAATAGGCCAGATAACCAGGGATAAATACAAGAAATCACCCTGCAACTGCAGAAGGTAGGACGGAGCAAAAATGCTGGACAGCCTGGTCTTGAGAGCTGAGTGAGATGGAGGCTGTGCAGCGGCAGACGCCTCTTAAAGAGGCCGCATCTATGAGAGGATTTTCGGGGTGACGGACCTCTTCGCTCTGAGCACCAGTGCTGATTCAGATGCACACAGCGGGCACCAAGGACTTACAGGAAAACATTGTCAGAATGAGAGCTAAAGCGAGACTCGCTCCGTACAGAAGTGCCAGCCGTATCCATTGTTCCCTATTAAGCCTTCCGCTATACCTATGAACCGGACACAGCGCCACCATAGTCGTGAGGTCATCAAACTGGATAACAGAGGTCACTCAGCCCAGAGGATTCCCTGAAACCCTGCCTCCCCCAACTCGTGGCCCCACCCAAGCCACATTCAGGTATATCCTCAGCAAGTCAGGTGTTCCTTGCTGAGCGGCGCCAAGACTCAACTGGAACCAACTGGCTTTGGTTTCTGGTGTAGCCTTTTGAGGTAACTATAAGCACAGCTTCTGTGAATTGCTTGCTGAATCTTAACAAGTGGCCCCAGAGGGGTAGAGGCTTGGGCTAAGTTTGGCCTGCAGCTGAACCCCTCTCAGGACTGTGCCACTGGACACCTACTTCACAAATCCACACTAATAAGACTGGGAGACTTAGGAGCTTTGCTTAGTACATAGAAACAGACACGGAAAGAGCCAAAATGGGAAGACAAAGAAGCAGAAACCATATGAGAGAACAGAACAGAGATCCAGATATAATGGAGTCAAGTAACAGATGCAGAGTTCAAAACACTGGTTATAAAGATGCTTAGTGAACTTTTGAGAAGTGTAGATAAATTCAGTAAAGAGATAAAAAAAATGGAAATGGAAATTATAAAAGGGAACCAGTTTGAAATGAAGAACACGTTATCTGAGATGAGAAGTATATTAAATGGAATAAACAAAGGAATAAACAAAGTGAATAAAGAAAGGATCTATCTAGAGAATGGTAAAGCCGAGGACATGTAATCAGAATAGCAAGAGATAAGATGCCAAGACTATAAAAATAATTTAAGGAA